CTCCTGGCAGAACTAGAGTTTTGAAATCTGAAGAACATAGTTTACATTTCTAGTGAAATTGTTAAAATCATAATTAATGAAGTTGGTAAATACTAAAAGAAAATATATAAAAAACAAAGTTATTGAGGTGATTATAGGTTCACTTATAGTATGTTGGAATTTTATTAATTAGTTAAATTTTCAATATTAAATTGTTTTGTATTCTTGGTATAAAGTTATATAAAGTATATTGAACACAAGCAGAGATGATGAAGGTAATATTAGTAAGAATAACACACAAAAATATGAGGTAAGTTTAAGTTCTTCAAATATTCCTTCTACTAAGATTTGGAATAATTATTCTTTGGGCTTAAAATGGAATCTTTTAATGTAATGTTTTTTAAGATTAATTCATTTGATGAAACTGAGCCCAATTTTCTGTTTTCCACAATGCTTTCCTTTATAGTCTGAATATTTAGCAAAAGCAGACTTCTCCATCTACAGAACTCAACCCCTGACCTAAAAATGCAGCTAGACCTGCAATGGCTAAAGGATTTATACACATCCACCATGACTTTGAGCTCTGGTCTATATCTGTGAGAAAGCAGTTCTCTCTCCTTAGAGCTATTTTCAGGTTTTTAAATTTTCCCTGGGAGACTGATCTAAGATGAGACCCAAAGTTATTCCCATCAGAAATGCAACGACTTGAGTTATGTTCTAACCTGACACCACCCCCTCCAAAGATGGTATTTTGAACTCACACTATTCAGATCTATATCCCTCTGAGAACACATCCATCAACATAGTAAAATGTGGCAGGGACAACTACTCAAAGAATACTTGACTTGTGGCATGACAGTCTGCTGAATCATATAATGAGATGTTACTACTAGAGGACCTTCAAAAGAGGCTTGTTCTACCTCTTGGGAAAAACTATCTAGAGAATGGAAGCAACTAAAATGATGCAGAGAATGTAGTTCACATGCTCGGATAAGAATTTGAATTTCACAATCTTGAATTCAGCATTCACTTCATTATCATCCTGGCTTAAATGTTTGTATCAGCTTTCTGTTATCTAAGTGTACCATTAAGTGAATTCCATCTTTATTTTTGCTTGATAAAGTATAATAAAATATTTTATTAAATAATTTAAATAATTTTACATTCCTTCTCCTTACATGCAGTCTTCAGTTTGCTTATACTATTCCATGTAGTTACAAATCAGAAAATTTCTTGTGTTTCTGAAAATAGTCTGAGCAAGGGTACATATAGCTTTCATGTACCACGAATACAGGAATATGTTTCTCTAGGGGTGAATTTTGTAAAGAACTGTACTTCATAAATTAAGCTAGGTATCAGATACCATTATTTTCTTTTCCAAATTTAAAAGTATTAGCTGATTATCTTAAATGGATCCATTGTAAGTATTAGAGAACTTGCTGCATTAAACTGATAAGGGAAAACTATAAATGGGGAGGGAAGTTTGAAGTGCTGATTTTGTCCTTGAATGTTAAAAAAAAAGTTTTATGTGGTGGTGCAGTTTGTATTGTTTTGTAATAAACAGACGACCCAATTAATGGAATTTTTCTAGCAAAATAGAAACTGTATTTTATTCTATGAACACATGCTCTCTCAAAGTAATACTACCAGTATCTTTTTAAATAGTCACTGCCACTCAAATGACTAAGTTCTCTGTCATGATGACAACTAACACAAAAGAGCTATTCTCCTCAGTTGAATACCAATTTTGATTTTTTTGTACATTACAACTAAATAACAATTCAGGAAATAAGTCTATTGTGATAGAAATGACAGGTTATGGAAACGTATAATGGAGATTCAGTGACAGAGAGTTAAGTTCAAATTATTTAACACAAAACCCCTCACTCAAGCCTGTCCATTTCTAACCCAAAAATATCCTGTGCTACAACTCAATTACTAAAATAATTCTTTTTTTCCAGACTATTCTTAACAATCTAGGGACCGAAGCTACTCCTTTGAAATATTTAAATACTTTTCTGCAATGTAGCATTTACCAGTGGTTCAAATAATTTTTTATATAGTCTAATAAGTATCGTTCTATTGTATCTTTTTCTGATCTAGCATCTTTTTTTGGTATAGTATCTAAAAGTATCTTTCGGATAAGTATCTTGCTGATATAGTCTAATAAGTATCTTTCTCTACAATGGGTTATGGAAAAGGGAGAAAGGTAGTTATCCTAAGCATAACATAGGCAGCTGATTTCTTAGGCAGCAAACACACTCCATACCCTTCTACTTGTTATCTTATAATGAGTAAGAAATGATGATTTGTTTTGAATGTTTGCAAAATATCAATGCTCTCTGCTGTATACTTCATGTCCACACATGATTCTCCTAACATGCATAACATACAGTTAAAAAGACTGCTTTGCCCAAGGCCAAACTCACTAGTTTGGAAAAAAATAAATCAAATAAATGTGGAATTGACATTTGTCTATAAAAAACAACTTATTAAAAATTCTGGGATAAAAGTTTGATGTGAAAGTAATTTTGAGGATTAAATATTATGATTTAAAATGCATTACACAAAACTATAGAGAAGATATAATTTACGTGTAATTTTAAATCTAAATAAATGTTTTAACTTAAAGATTATTTTGAAATAAAATCGTCTGGTCTAGAGAAATCTTGGCATATATATAAGGAGCCTTATAAAAACACCCACACTAGTATTTGCACTGATTGTAATAGATTCAGAGTCGAAACTAAACAACTTGATCCAAGGTAGGCAGTGGGCAAATAGCCTGATATTTTGCCCACAGTATGACATGTTAAATAACACTGAAAGTAAATAAGGTAGTTGTACAAACATCAATAAGTGTCAAAAACAATGTTAAGCAAAAAACTGCAAAAAGCAGTGTAATGCCATTGACATAAAATTTCGACCTCAAAAACAATTCTACTTATATGTTCTAAAGATGTATACCTATGTAATAATATAAGATGTATTTTCTTGGTTACTTTTCTCGTATTGCTAGGAAAAAATACTGACACCCAAAATTAAGGAAGGGAAAGGTTTATTTAGCTCACAGTTTGTAGAAGTTTCAGTCCCTAATTAGCTGGCTCCAAGGCAAGGTGGCATGGTGAAGAGCTATAGTTAATGGCAGTGGAAGATAACAAAAGAAAAAAGTTAGAGCAAGCCTCTTTTCTTTCTTATGTAGTAAGCAGGCTACCACCCTCTAGGATGGTGTAACACTCAACACCATATACAGGCCCTCCTCTTGCACAGGCTCAGGATGTTTACAAAGTGAGGACCTGTCGCTGAGCTGCTTAAACTTCTAAACTTCTCAAGTTGACACAATGTGTGTGTGTGTGTGTGTGTGTGTGTGTGTGTGTGTGTGCCTGTGTAGTACAAGATACATAGCTATGTAATGTAAGTACAAAGCATGCATAAAATGATATGCACTAAGTAGTAATTATGCACTTTTTGAAAAACAAGTTTCCTTTGGTGGATATGGCAAACTATTAAAATGTTATCTTGGTAAGATGTTAGCAATTTTCTTTTTAGCTCCTACCTGTCTGTTTGCTATAATTCAAACTCATTTAAAATATGGCTATGTGAGAAAAAAGAATTATAATAGTTCATGTTTCTATAAAAGTTTGGAAACTTTTAAAGTTTTGAATATTTTCTTACCTTTGGATCGTAGTTTCTACAGGTATGAAATGAAGTTTTGAATGTAAACTACAGAATGAGCAGTTACATAAAACAATTGGTCAGTCAGATCACTGATAGCCATGTGTAAGTTATGGTTCTCTGTGGGAATGAAGTTGATATAGAATACATGATCACCTAATGAGAATGAAGGGCTAGTGTACTGGCACTTGAGGTTTAGAAAAGACATCGTAGAACAATGAAAAAAAAGCAAAGCAAAGGGATAGAGCAATACCGTGGCCTGCAGTCCAGCTTAGAAATGTATATTTGAAATGAAAGCAATTAGCATAGCATCATTTCTATAGAGGATTTCTTCCCATACTCCCCTTTCACTAGGTCATTCTGAGACAAAATCAGATAATATGGGGGATTATGTATCTTTCCTTTTAAGACAATTAAGCAAGATGAGCAAGAATTAGAACTTCTGTGTTCAAATGTATTCCTATACATATGTTTGGGAGAAATGGTAATGAACTTGATGGACAGTTTGGCTTAGCAATCAGTTCAGGAACTTGTAGGAGTTGAGTTGTTGGAAACTGGTCTGATGTAGATTCCACTGGCTAAAATCCGTACCCATTCCAGAAAGGACAGGGAATGGCACTGCAAGTGGCTAGATGGCACTTTGTGGCAGTTATCTTGAAACCAACTCACTTTGTGGCAGTTATCTTAAAAAATTATGTTCATTCTCAAAATAATGCATTCTTCAAAAGGCTTTTGAAAGTTCTATTTTGAGATTACTTCAAGTTATGTGGTCTTGTTGGCCTTTATCTTCATCAGCCTATGAAAACCATAATGCCATAACTATCCTAAAGATGTAATAAAATTAAATGAAAATTTTAGGAACTGCCATGTAGGTAATTAACAAACCATTTCACAAAGCACCCTTTGCTTTATGGCTGCTACTCACTTTTTAGTTAAAAATACCTGATACATAAACTTGTCTCTTGATGATTTGGGCTGGAAACCAAACACCAAATCTTATTTCAAAACATCCAGATACTGCATATCTAGTGGCACGAGTTCCATAAATGATTGATCCTCTCTGTAATTCCCTTAGAAATCTTCTAAAGATGAAACTGTGTGTGTGTGTGTGTGTGTGTGTGTGTGTGTGTGTGTGTGTGTGTGTTGAACCCAGGGCCTTTGCACCGAATTACACCTCCAGCCCTTTCTCATTTTTTTTTTACTTTTTATTTTAAGATATGATCTCACTAAGTTGACCTCCTGTACACATGCAACCAAACCTGGCTAAAATGAGACTTCTTATGTGGAAATTGGGTATTTTAGAAGAGAGAAATGAAATATAATCTCTCTGTTTTTTCTCTTCTCAGGAAGTCACCAAAGCAGTACAGCCTCTCTTACTGGGAAGAATCATAGCTTCCTATGATCCAGATAACAAGGAGGAACGCTCCATCGCCATTTACCTGGCCATCGGTTTATGCCTGCTGTTCATCGTGAGGACCCTGCTCCTACACCCAGCCATTTTTGGCCTTCAACACATTGGAATGCAGATGAGAATAGCTATGTTTAGTTTGATTTATAAGAAGGTAATACTTTCTTGTACAGACTCCCAATACATGTAGTCTGCCTAGCACATGTCATAAGGGCTCTGAAGTAGGTAATGAACTGATACAAGCAAGGGATATGCTGAAATTAATCTCAAATGTCTGTAGAATGACAGAAATAAGTGATGTTTTTAATTTTCTTTGATGATTCAATTTACTTCAGGTGATAATTTTTAAGCATATTCTCTCAACTGCCTATAAGTTTAATTTTCAGCCATGTCGTTCATTATTGGGTTTGTTTCTGCTTTTACTTTTTTTTTTTTTTGCAATACTAGGGTTTGAACTCAGGGCCTCCCATTTGTTAGGCAAGACCTCTACCATAGGAGTCCATTTTTTTTTTTTTTTTTTGTCTTTTTCGTTTTTATCGGTACCAGGGATCGAACTCACGACTGCATACTTGCAAGGAAGGTGCTTATGCCGCTGAGCTAAATCCCCAGCCCCAGGAGTCCATTTTTTAAAAATCCATAGTTCTCCACTGAAATAATACATGGTCTGTATAAAAGTCATGGGCAAAATATATATTAAAACACTGTATGACTTTATGTTCACTAACAAGGGTATAACTCATAATATGTAATGATAACCCAAGCAATTAATATTTCTACCTTACCTAGTTGTCATAGCTGGTGACATATACTGTCACAAATGATTCACATTTATTCAGTGATTTACTTTGAGTTGGATTTTTGTCATCCTATGAATCTGCAACTTTATTTTTATATATATAATATATTTATAATTTAATTTATTTTTATAATAATTATATATAATTATTTAATATATATAATAATAATTCATTTTTATTCATACTTTGCAGTGCATAATGATGATAGCCCTTGTAAGGAATTGGTACATGTACATAACACATCTTAGTTCTTTTTTCATCCCTTTCCCATCCCCACTCCAGCTCTTGGTCCCTTTCACTTTTGCCAAACTTTGAAATAGCACATATATTGAAATCATAAGAACTTATTCTGTTTGTTTATGTTACCTAGACAAGAGCTCAAGTTTTTAAGGAATGATTTAGGTGAATTCAAATTAACATTTGGTTATCTTCCAAACACAGTTGAAGGTGATTTCTATTGCAAGTGCTTTTGCCAATCTGATGTAACAATATATGTGACTGGTTACAAGTCATTAAAGAAAGTTGATTTCATTAAATCACTTGGCTATTGCTTTAATTTCTGTTTTCTTCCCTCAATATAAAAATTCAATATATTTTTAGCTTATAAGAGATGTGGATATGAAATTGACCTCTAGTGAGTAACCCATAACAATTCCATCATATACATACAAGGTCCATTGTGCTGTAAAACTTCAGTAGCCATTGTTTATTGCTCAAAATTGCTTTTATAGAGGCAGTGAAAAACGTCAATAATTTAATTTAAGCTGCCATCTCATCAGTTCAGACGTCTCAGGAAAATTCTGATGATAAATTTTGATTGAGAAATTTTATACAAGTCAAGAAATGAGGAATTGTTAGGAACAGAACCTACACAGCTTGCTATCAAAGAAAGTTGAATTTAGTTCAATAAATACTTATAAAGATTACTTATTATCATAATAATAGCAGTGAAGTGTGTTTGGCAAGCTTCTGATTGGTTTAGGTATATGTTCTCATTTGATGCACCCCACATTCTATGTAGTAGGGACCCATAATCCCTGTTTTATGGATGAGGAAACCATGATCTGAAAGCCCAGAATTTTGTGGAAAAATTCAAAATTTCAAAGTAGAAAATTACAATCTTTGAAGCAGAGGGATTTGACCTATTAGGGAAAAGGAAATAAGTACTGAAATATAGTAGTGAGGTAAAGGGGGTGTCAAAGTGTAAGCTTAGTTTGTAAACAAATTTGCATGTAATATTTAACATAAAGCACTTAATATATGTGCATCAATGTTAGATATCTGTTTTCTTAACCTAGTTTGCTTTATCTTGCTAGGCACACTTACTGTCCTATCTTAGCATCATCACTAAAGAATGCAATTACTTATCCATGTGGCTGGTTTGGTTCCTAACGTGAGCCTTGTCTGGACTGTTCCTAGGACTTACTCTTCCCCATATCTGACCTGTTTAATCCTCATGGCAGGGACATGAAGGACTCTTTCCATAATATTTCAAATTTTGTAATAGAGCACTCTGATTTTGTTCCACATTCTGCAACTATAATGCATTACACTTGAAATGAGTTTAAATATAAAGAAAATTTGAACTTTGTGAATTTTGAGAATTCAGAAAGAATAGATTAACAGTGATTAACTAAATATTTCCTGTGCACACACCTCCATGTTTCACCTTGTGCAGAACTCAATTTCTCCTGAGACTGAATCTACTACTAACATCAGTGGAACGCTTCTTCCCCCCAGTGTTGCTCTGAGAATGTTTGGAATGAATTCCCTTGATTACTTCTTCTTTATTTATCTACCCATTGTTCCAGACTTATCTGTACTAAATCTTTCCAGATTTTGCTAACCAGGGGTATAAACTTTTTGTTAATAATCTTACTATTTTCTATTTTCCTTAACTCATTAGCTTCTCAGACTTAGTTACTTATATCCTATGCTGCCTTGGGATAGGAATTATTTTTTAATAAATCTTAGTTACCAAGGCTTTGGTATGGTGATTTACATATACTAAATGCTCAATAAATATGTGATTGTTTTGATTCATTTGAAACAAATACTAGATGAGTGCTTTCTAGTCAAAGCATCTAACAGTAGATCAATTCTCACATTTTGCAGATGAAGTGTTACTATGTTTCATAATCAATTTAATAGCTTTAATATGTAGATAACTTACTAACGTATTTTACACATAGCACTGTTTTTCTTTGTAAAATTTAAATATTTATTTTTCATATACTTTCATAAAATTACTAATGATTTAATTATTCATAATATACTTTTATTGAGTTTAGCACAATTTTATTCAAAAGAGTTAATGTAGGAGTTCATGAAAATTTAATACTATTTTCAGTCTCAAGATTTAGTGTCTTAGGTTGCATCTTATAAGTAAAATCAAATATACCCCTAGACCTCAGATTATTTAAGTGAATAATTAGGTGCAGTATCATTACTATTGCAAAAGTGGAAGAATAGGTATTATTATTTACCTTCTGGAAAATAAATCTAGAGGGATGTCAGTCTATTTGCTGTTAAGAGAAATATTTATAAATCTGAGATGATACAAAGCTGAGTGAACATAAAATAGTTTTTATTACCTTTACTTAAAACTGCATACTCAGTAGTCTGATTCCTTAGCTTTATTATAATGTTGCTGCTTCTAAAGATATTTGTCTTTTGTTTGTTGACATCCTCTGACTCACCATTTTTTTTTTTTTTTTTTTTTTAGACTTTAAAGTTGTCAAGCCGTGTTCTAGATAAAATAAGCATTGGACAACTTGTTAGTCTCCTTTCCAACAACCTGAATAAATTTGATGAGGTATGTACCTATTGACTAAATCTTTTAAAATTTTTGTTAGAAACTATATGATTCCAAAACTGAAGTTTCTGTGTATCATAACAGTAAGAAGTAGTTAAGTCTTACTCATACGTCCCTTGGCTGTTTCTGGAAACTGAGAAACCTAAATTGCATAATTGAGTGCATTGTGAGGTCTGGTGACACTGTCCAACTTAAGGGCACCTTAGCTTCCGCTTCAAAACTTACTCCTTATCAAACTTTACTTCCTTTAATACTTTAACTTGGTTATTTACTTTGCCCAAATATGATATTTGGAGCAATTCCTGTTCTGTGCTGTCTTATGTGACAATTTCAAAGTCCTTGAGGACAGAAAATGTATTTTATTTATCTTTACATTTCCTGTATTTAATATAGCAATTGAACCTATAGAAAGGTCTAAATAAGTTATTGCTTAACTGATCATGTACTGTATTTTTTCTGAATGTCTCTGTCACTTAACAGAGATGTGCAAATCTATGTGAATTGAGCCTCTGTGGATAGTCCTTTGTTCTCTCATGTTCTATGTGATGGCTTTTGGTTTATCAAAAAGAGATGTTATTTGAAATAGATTCTGGACATAGTATTTAAGATATTTGGTCCCAGTTGCACTGAATGAAAACACAGTTAAAAAGTGCAGTGGCTTGAAAAAAATGTATTCTTATGTGTAGAATGTATGTTCTTTATGCTTCAAATAATCAATACCGAGATATTAGTATACTCAGAATCATGAAGTGTTTGATTGCTGAAGTACCAGGCTCATTTTCTTTCACATAAGATTGTTTATTTGCTTCATTTTGGGGGATGGAGGATAACATTCCACTTGTTTTTGCTGTGCTTTTGTTTTTTAGGGTCTTGCACTGGCACATTTCGTGTGGATTGCTCCTTTACAAGTGACTCTCCTGATGGGGCTGCTCTGGGACTTGTTACAGGCGTCTGCCTTCTGTGGCCTTGCTGTGCTGATAGTCCTTGCCCTTTTTCAAGCATGGTTAGGAAAAATGATGATGAAGTACAGGTAGCAGTCCATTGTCATAGTTTGGAAGGTTTTAAATCAAGATTTAAAAAGCTCATTTAGAAACACCAGGACTTCTTTAGGCACTGAATTGTCATCTGTATGGTATCACTAAAAACAAATTATTTTAGTGGCATAAATAATACTGACTATCCCAGTGGAGTATTTTTTGCTTGTCATTACATAGAATTTCTTTATAACTATGTTAAGATTCATTGCATTTTCATAGTTTGTAAGATTTAAGTAAAAGTGGGTACAATATTTATATGAATTAAGGAAGTTTTGTGTAAAGTTCATTGGTTTCTCCTACTCTGGTTCATAGATCATAACACCAGAGTTTTAATTTGTTTTTATTGTAGAATGATCTGTGATGCCAATCATTGTTTATGACAGAGGATTTCTAGAATTTGTCAACTAGAGTATGATAGAAACTACAAATGTAGTTTCTACAAACTACAAATAGAAACTCCAGTTAGATCGTTGCTTGAATTTCAAATTATACACTTTTTCCAACTGGTTTTTGAAATGGAGACAGTAACTTTTCATAGATGGTCATAAGGATCAGGGATAATATATATAATCCATCAAATATAGGAGGCATTTACTAAGTGATAACTTATTATTTTTACTGCCATCTACTTGATAATGAAATAAATCCATATCTGTTTAATGAAAGAAATGTGACTGTTCTTAAAACTTTGAACATTTTTTTCCTTCTGAAGTACTAGGGACTGAACCCATGGCCTTGTACATGCCAATGAAGTGAGCAAGCATTCTATTACTGAGCTATGTTTCCAGCCCTTTTAAAAATTTAATTTTAAGATGGGGGGGGTCTTGCTAAATTCCTTGTACCCTTGAACTTGCAATACTATCTCAAGCTTCTGAGTAGATTGGATTACAGGTAGGCGCCCCCACACCTGACTTGCGCTGTTCTTAATGGATTGTTTGACTTGCTTTCACTATTGATTGATGGATTTTCAGAGATCAGAGAGCTGGAAAGATCAATGAAAGACTTGTGATTACTTCAGAAATGATTGAAAATATCCAGTCTGTTAAAGCATACTGCTGGGAGGAAGCAATGGAAAAAATGATTGAAAACCTAAGACAGTAAGTTTTCATGATAACAGTACTATTAACAATTTTATCCTTAATATTTAAAGAGATCAATCTGTCACATTAGACTTTTAGGTTATATTGGAAGTTACTGAAAATTAAACAATTGTATTGAGGTATGTCAATATTCAAACATTAGTTGAATAAAATTATTACAGTTTTATATAGTCAAATCAAAAATACTTTGCATTACTATGTATTCATACTTTAGGAGTAGGGGTTTAACTCAGTGACACAAGTGCCTGCTCGGCAAGCATGAGGTCCTGAGTTCGATCCCTGGTACAAAAAGAAAAAGAAAAAAATAAGACCTCAAAACAAAGATATTTCTACTTTATTAAAGAATCTCTTTATAGTTCTTTAACACACTTATTTCTTAAGGGGAGCTGATACAGTATATAATTCTGAACCAAATAAATGACTATTATATGTTACTTAATTTGTGTGTTGTAACTCATGAACAATGGTAAAAATCTCTATTTGTAAAATATACTTTTTCTTTAATTTTGGAATAATGTCATGTGGTAGTATCCATAAGTTGTACTCCTACAACCTGTTCATTAAGACAAAGTGAGATCAAGCAGTGAAAGCCATTTTCTGAGAAAGAATTAGTACTTGGTACCTATATCTAGTCTTCTTTCTTCTCAGATAATCTTTCACCAATTAGTAAAGATTATATCCAGTAAAATGTACAGCATAGATTGAGATTTATCACTGAGATAGTTTTGGTCACTAGAGCATTTTGTAAACTAGAGCATTTTGATATTGATGAAGTTACTTTTTGTTAGTTGAGTTCCATTACTCAACTAATGAGTCTACAAACTGCAATCAAAAAAATAGTAGGAGATAGTGAGGGTATATCACTATAAAGACAACTTATTGTATGGTACATGAAAGTTTCACAGGAAAACATGTACTAAAAAGAAGAGTACTCTTTGGGATGCTATGAATATGAATTATTAGAAACTCTATAGACAAGAGTTAACCTGAGCTACAGGTGTGTGATTGGAACAACAAATGAAATGGTGAAATGTTAAGTCCTTTGCCATGTAAATAGAAGGAGTACAAGAGTATTTATTTCCCAAACATTGTCAGTCACCTGTTTTTGTTATGACTTTCATGACAAATCCAGGAAAAGAATTGCATTTTCTTTCCTGAAACACTTTTAAAGATCTCAGGATAATTGTTCAATTGGTAGAAGCTGTTTTTTTCTCATTAAGAAGTGAGTGCTTCATCACACTGTACCTACACACATAGGGGTACAAGGATGAAGAAGAGATTACCAGAGGATTTGGTTTCTCCAGGCCTGGGAAAAACTCATGGCCAAGTCATTCACCAGGCTGATTTTTCATGACAGTTATTTTTCTCTTCTTCCTCAAATGATGAAATCCATTCTTCCTACTCTGTATTTCTGTTCAACAAATTCCAGTAGCAAACATCTGATTTTATCTTGTATAAGCCAGCATGAAATCATTACCTAAAAATATTGGAAAGTGTTAATGTAAATATGGAAAGCAAAAATTACTTTTACTGAATACAGCAAATATAATGTTCTGGAAGAGACTGACAAGATGTACTTCAAAGGGCTGATTACCTAAGCCTGGGCCACTGTTGAACTAGGCAAAACGTTGTGGGGCAAGTCTTCTTGAGAATTTGCTCTTTTATTGCTCTTTTGTGATAAAGTCACTTTTAATTTTTTATAAGAAGATGATAAACTATCTTTATGATTCAGTGTTAATGATTTATTATGATGAGTGTTTTTCTGGATAGATCTTTTAAGTGTTCTTGGAGTCATTTCTCTTTTCTCTTATGAATCTCTTTGTTTTTTCCAACTGTTTCTAATGTATTTCAAACACTGTAATATTTGGCTAACATTTTTGTAAACAGTATTTTCTATAATTTTATAAGTACTACCTAGTCTCTCTCTGTGAGTCTTCCTATTGAGGAAAAAGGATGCACATTTGTAAATTCTAAATACTAGATTCCAGGGTGACACTTCTGTTAAATTTTGACAAGAGCTTCACAAGGGAGCAATTGCATTTCTTTTCCTTAGATGTGTTGCCTATGAAATCAGAGAAAAGAGCTACTTTCTTAGGATGCTATACCTGTAACTGGCAAAGTCAAGTTGCAAACCTGGGTCAGATTCTAAAACCATAATCTGTCTTTGATGTCGGATTGCTGAAATAGGTAAATATTAGACTGATCCCAACCTAGGTTGGGCATGTTGAATTCCATTCCCAGCAGTGTGCCAAGGATTACATTTTTTTTCTTTTAACATTTAAGAAAAATAGATTTCCCTGAGTTCTGCCACTTCAGAATGAGAATTACTTCTCTGAATTATATAAGCCTACAGAACTAGTACCTACATGCCAGGTGCCCTCCCGAAATAGCCCTACGCAGCTACTATGTCATCCACCATGGCCTTCCTCTTATTTGTAGCACTGGTACTCTTTGCCTGTGAAAGATCTGGGCAGAGAACATCATGAGTGACTCCAGCTTTTATGGCTCTTGGGAGAGTGGGGCTGATGTTCAAGCCACCATCATCTTCTGTTCTTCCCATCCTCTGTGCTTGTTTCCTGTCTGTTGGAACATTTGATCCTCATATATGTATTAACAGATAGTTCGTATTTGCAATGAAAACTGGAAGGCTGAAATTATAATGCAATATGATCACAAAGAATTACTCTGAAACGAGACAGAGGATGTAACATTTACTCTTGTAGTTTCCAAGACTTTTGAGCAACAGGATCACTTGATTTCTTTTTCTAAAATACAACTTCTGGAAACCTGCTGTGGATTCATCAATCACTATCTGTAGAGGTAGGCCTGAGAAGGCATTTTAACAATTGTCCAAGTTCATTTTTACCCATGCTCATGTTTGAGGACCATTCCTTTGAGATATGTTTGTTACTTTACTATTCCTTATAGCAAAGGCAGAATTTCTAAATTGTTAAGAATTCATTTGGTAAATATAAATTGTCTTTTTCATAAATCATGCAACATTGCCATCATTTCCATGCTCAAACAAAAACCAACAAACTAATCAACCAAATATCTTTATAAATCTTACAAGTTAATAGTGAAGTGAAGTGAATAAATGTATAAAAATAATAGTTTTATTATTAAAACTTTAATAATGTTTATATGTGTTTGTGTCAAACATTGGTACATTAATGACTGTCCCTCTTTCATATATTGTAAGAGTCCTAGAGAGATTTCATATCTTTCCCAAGGTTACATAGTTCAGAAAGGGTACAACCAGGATCAAAACACAGGCAGAAACACTCTAGAGCCTGTGTTCAAAACTTACATTCTCAAATGCCTGATACATGAAATATAAGATAACATCCCAAATCTTCTTCTTCTTTTTTATAGAACAGAACTGAAACTGACCCGGAAAGCAGCCTACATGAGATACTTCAATAGCGCAGCCTTCTTTTTCTCAGGGTTCTTCGTAGTATTTTTATCTGTTCTTCCCTATGCATTCCTCCAAGGGATCATACTTCGAAAAATATTTACAACTATCTCATTTTGTATTGTTCTGCGCATGGCAATCACACGGCAATTCCCCGGGGCTGTACAAACATGGTATGACTCTCTTGGAGCAATAAATAAGATACAGGTAAACTTATCTGTGCATCAAACTTAACTGTGCATGATATGCAATGGTTTTGAAGAACGTTTTAGAATTTTTCTAGCAAGCAAAATCTCTGAGGATGAATTATTGGTCTTAGATGCACAATATTTCCTTTCTTAAAGTATATTATGTGGTTCTTATAGTGGGTTACATGAAGTCCTGCAGAATTCTCATAAGTCAAAGAAATTAGAAATAATAATTTCTGTAATCTGGAAAATTTCATTCAAAGAAATCTGTGAATAGATCACTTCTAATGAAATGTAAGCATGCACAAAAATTGAAAAGGAAACATGCTTCATTAAGGAAGTTATAAAACCTACCAGCTACTACCAAGAATGCTTATATTAAAGTTTTCCTAGCATTTATCTGGACAGTGTGATGAAGGAGAATGGCATTTTATGCCATTTTAAGTATCTTAAAATTCCAGCAATGCTGATGGGCTTGCAGGGATCAGAAATTTGGAAGTCTTTCTGAAGACAGTCAATTAATACAGAGCTAATTGCAAGAACTTGTGTATGTTGAATAAGAAGATAAAAATATTTCATTGTAGTCTTTTAATATGTATTCAAATATTTAACCCAGAAAATGAATCACAGAATTACAGAATTAAAGATGAAGAGTAAAAAGGAGAGCATTTTTAGGTGGTTTTGCCATTATTTTATCTATACTGGAGGTTGCAAATAGTGACCCATGAATTTTATTTTGATTTCTAGATCTTTTTTTGTTTGGGCTTTATAGTTTTGAAATTTTATTTAGATGCCAGCCTTCAAAAATAAGAGACATCCCTCTTACCACCTCCTTTGCACTCTGCTACACACGACTTCCACACCTTGAAGAACTGTTATCTAGTTATGTATCTAGAGCCTTCTCCACAAGATGTAATAGCTGCCTTCTCAGAGTACCAGGACTAACTAGCTCATCACACTCTCTATCATCTCCCTTTCGTAATTATATCATCCATTTGAATCATGAGAATGTGTGAGTTTGAGATCATTGATTTATATAAAGTAATGGCTGTAACTCAGAATCATAGTTTCTCTGAGAATAATCTTATTTTCTCTGCTAACTCCATCACAGTCAAGAGACAGGGGAAGAGAAATAGAGAGACAGACAGAGAGACAGACAGACTGACTGACTGACAGTCACAGAGATGAAGTCACAGAAACAGAGAGACAGGAACAGACAGAGACAGAAACAGAGAGAGTATGTATCAGCAGGGACCAGAGAACAACTAAACCTCAATACAGAGACAGAGAAACCGATTTAGAAAGGAAACTGGGAACTTGGGGAAAATGAGTGAAATCAAATGACAAATAGTGCAGCATAGAAGAAAGGGAAGAGACCAGGCCAGAACCAGTTTTCTTTTTTCCTGACTTCAAGAGGCTGAAGATATCAGGATGCATAGAATTATGTCTTTCTTGTACTTCTGACTTCCCTAAGAAATGTATGGTGTGGAGTCTCCCGTAGAGCCCCACTTTGGAATCACAGTCAGTTGCTTTTAAGCTAGTTATACCAAATTTTCACACTTTTTCTTAACCCAGAGAAGTAATACTAATGATGCATCTCATTAAAATGTGATATAAAGATCAAGGTGTTGACTTTTTCTACTTTACCTTGTTGTTCATTAAGGTTAATATTAATAGTATCAGGAAGAATTAGCTATATGTTAAAATCTTATATACAAAGAGTGTCATGACACCATATATTAAAGGAATGCATTTCAAGTATAAATTGCAGTGCTTGTCAAATTAATTTTAGTAAATGTATAATTTTTAATTTCAAATTGTTTAAAATTCATTTATAAGATGCAGCACTAGTATAATACAAATAGATGTAACAATGCATTAATGCCATTCTGATTCTTCTGCATGTATTTGTTCTCTTTAATAAATAGGATTTCTTACAAAAGCAAGAATATAAGACATTGGAATATAACCTAACAACTACCGAAGTAGTAATGGAGAATGTAACAGCTTTCTGGGAAGAGGTGAGAATTTTTAAAAATTGTTTGCTATGAGAACTTGAATTTTCTTCTTTATGAATCTAGATTTCATATCAATGAAAAATAAAGTTAGCATGATGGTATAAATAATAGAACTATTAGAAGGGACTACTCTATCAGTTGTATAAATTAAGAAGCAGAAGTCCAGGAACAGTCCAGTCATATAATTTGTTTCATAGACCAGATTCAGAAGTAATACAAAGCTCATAGGTTTTGAGGCTGGGTTGCAATCCTGGCTCTGCCATTTATTTTTCATGTAATCCAAATCTAGTTATTTTAACATCAAGGAGCCTCTGGTTATTCATTTATAAACTGGAGAATATCAATATTTATCTTGAAAATTTGTTTTGAGCAGCAGAATACTTTATGCAAATATTCATTAGAATACTGTTCACATAATATCCCAGTCAACAAAAAGATATAGGAAAGATATACCAATGTATCTTTTTCAACAAGTTTTACTTCCTTTCATTCACTATTGAAAATTATTTTACACTACTCATTTAGAAAAACATTATAATTTTCAGCCTTAAGAGAAAAAAATATTTGATTGTCAAGAGTACCTTCTGAGTTTCTACTTCTTTATCATTCATACTTCATCATTTATATCAGTTGGCTAAAAGTAGGAGTTAGAAAACTAGTGTCCTATCTCTAAATCTATGGTATCTTGAATTTGATTATTCATATAATTTGGTCAATATTGTATCCTTTTACTTAATTTTTAAATGATACAGGTAAAAAGGAATAGTTCCCTATTTGTGTAGTGAACGTGTTTTTGTGGAGTAGTGTGAACCAGAGTTATTTTAGTACCTTGCTTTTTGAAATTGCAAATGCCCTTCAAAGTATGAAGGGCCAATCATTAGCTTTGACATTTTCACTACAACCTTCAGATTATTGTTTTCCTACTCTGGTGCCAAAACTCTCCATTTCCCTCTGATTCCATCTACTAAAGTAAGTAGCATGCTTGAGTCCTTACTTTGTGGCAGACACTAGAATACACACTACATATATTGTGTCTCTTAAATTATAAAAGATAATTCTTATCTTTTATGTGTCACTGTCACAAAATATCTGAGATAACAAATTTGAAAAGAGGAAAGGTTTATTTTGCCTCATAGTTTCCGAGATGTCAGGCCATTCCTGGCTGGACTATTGCTTTTGGGCTGTTGATAAACAGCACAATGTTATTGGAGCAGAGTGGGCTGTTCACCACACTGTGTTTAGGAAGCACAGTCCGGGAGAGAAGATGGCCCCATTATTCCTTTCAAGGACATGCACCAGTATTTAACTTTCTCAACTAGGCCCCATTAATTAAAGGTTCTACTACTTCCCATAGTATGAGCTGAGGACCAAGCTTTGAATATACAGGCTGTGAGGAAAGGGTCTGGAACATGTCATATAAAACTATAGTACTTTATAACAGTCTTATGACTTAAAGAATATAAATATTCTATTTTACTGATTTAAAAAAAATCAAGGTTTTTGAAAAATGAAGAGACTTGGTTCAACTTACACAGTTGACAAGGACTGTGTCTTAATTACTTTTCTCTTGTTGCTGGGACAAAACACTCAAAATTAAGGAAGGAAAAGTTTGTTTAGCTCCCTGTTTGTAGAGGTTTCAGTCCATAATCAGCTGGCTCCAAGGCAGAGTGGCATGGCACAGGAGCAACACTTAAAAGCAACAGCCAAAGCAAAAAGGAGGGAAGAACACACCTCTTTTCCTCCCTTATAATTTATGCAGACCATACCCCATGCCCCTCCCTGCCCTTTAGGGCAGATATTGCACTTACAAAATCTCCTTGACCTCCTTTGCACAGGATGAGGATATTTACAAAGTAAGAACCCTGGCTTCCTGCTGAGTTAGTTAAACTTCTAAACTTCTCGAGTTGACATAAGGTATCAACCATAACAGTCTTCAGCTCATTCACTGATCCATTGTCTGCTGTCTGGCCCCCAGTCCTAACTGTCACCTCTTACACTCCAGACACTCCTAGATTATTTATTTAGGTTGGTGGTGTTCATTAAAACTCTCTTGTCATGTAAGGGACTTCAACATCTGCATAAAAGATCTTTCTAGTACTGCCCTTAGAACTAGCATTTCCCAGTGACTTCAGAAATGGTATGTATCTCTTTTTCATATCCTGAGATTAGTTAGTGATCAGATTTACCCTGCTTTGGAAATGTCACACTGTGAAATTTCTTTCTTAGCACGGAACTCCCTAATCCTGCAGAGCTTCCAGTCTCTTCAGCCTACCTTTACTGCTTTCAGGTTTCTAATCTCTCTCATTCCCTTTGGATTTCCCTGTCTTGTTTATCTTCTCCTTATCACAACACCAGTCATTCTAGTGCTTCTCCTAATTGTACTCTCAGTTCCCTTTTCCCTTCCTTTTTTTTTCTTCCTCTGTGCAAAATATTGACTTTATTACCTTTGGAGAAGGAAGTGGTATCTGGGAAAATTATACATTGTTCAGCTTGAAGTTTTATACATTTATTGTTTCAACCTCAATTGGGCCTGTACTCCTTGAAAGATCATTTTCATTTGTCTTTAGTTTTCTTTACCATTTCCCTGAAAGCTGGAAAAGCCCAACCTTTCAGGACCTGCCACCCGTGACAGGTGGCCATGTCTTCAGTACATAGAGAAAGTAGAGATGATCGTTACATGTGAGTGCTTCCAGTTTTTCTCTGACCCTTGTAATTATCTTTTCATCTTTTTTTCCCAGTCTAACAGAAAGATACATGGTTACTTCTGCCATTGTCTGAAATATTCTCTCACTGCTTCTTAAAACAGGGAAACTGTGGTTACCCTCTTTGGAAGCTTCAACTGTTTCACTCTCATGTTTAAGTATTTTCAAGTTTAGGGCCAGGGATTTAGCTCAGCAGTGTAAGCACCTGCCTGGCAAATGCGTGGTCATGAGTTTGATCCCTGGTATCAAGAAAAAAAGTATTTTCAAGTTTAAAAATTTCCTCCCTGACCTTCTCCCACTTAGCTTCATTTCCAAGGCTTGCTACTCTTCTTTGTTGTGAAAACTGTTGTCTCTTCTTCACTGTGGACTTTTGTCCATTGCAATCTGGATTTTGCTATCACCAATCTATGAAACTGTCTTTTTCCTCTAGAATTTGTCACTTAATGAACTACTCCAAATTATGACTTCTAATTCTTGCCTGCCTGTCCTTCAGTGGTGTGGGACCCTGGCATCTTCCAGCAGTCTGTGCTCTCTGGCAGTGACCTCACCTAGGCCCAGCTGATGTCAGTGTGCTGAGGACTCTTACATACAGACCTCTGGCTCTCATTTCTTTCCTGAACTTCTATGTGTATTTCTCAATTTCCTACATGTTCTATATACACTTGACATAGCTCACTCTTTAACTTTCACAAACTCACTTATTCCTGAGTATTCTTCTCCTTTAATGACATCACTCGAGAGGCAAATTCTTGTGAATTATATGACTCCTCCCTTGTCCTGAACCTGAAAGTAGGTAAAATTTCTATTTATAAATTAGGAAGTTGAAACTTAAGAGAGTTTACATAACTAGAACAAGGTTACTTAACTACCTGGGGAAGAGTTAATATGCCAGCCTGGTTTTCTCTAATTTCAGGGCCTTTTCTACTCACCGTTTTGACATTTAGTTTTTTAAAAAGAACTGACTGATGCTTCACTGTATACAAAATGCTTTCCTATCTGTTACCTCGTTTCATGCTCTTAGCAACTCAGAAAACTTAACCTGAAACTATGATGCTTTGTCTGGCTTTGCCCATCTAGATGAGAAGATACAGTCTGGGATAAAGGTGAAGGACATTGTAACCATTCCTCTACTCCTGAGGGCTCATAAACATGAAAAATGTTCAGTTTTATTAGAAGTTAAATAAATATAGTTAAAGTTAATAGTGAAATTCCATTTTTTATATATACAACTACACACACACACACACACACACACAGACACACACACACACGGAAAGATACACTCAAATCAAATCAAATCCAAAATGCAAATGTTTATAATTTGTTCCTGAAAACTTTGGAACTATGTTTTGAAAGACTTGGAATTTTTTTTACTTTTTCCCCTGGAAATTATACTCTGAGAATTTATGCTAGTCAAACAGGAATTTTAAAAATGTGCCCAAGATTTATAGCAAAGTTTGTGGCTCATAGAATTATTGATTAAACTAAAAAGGAAGCTATCTAATGAAGAGCTATTTATAATTTATCTATACTCTCTAGTTTATCTATACTTAAGTACTCTACAATATTGTCCTTTAAATGTGGAAATATTTATGATGTTAGAAAAAAAACAGGTCACAAACCTTTGATGTAATTTTTATGAATGTTATAAAAATATCTATTGTTTTTACATGTAAGAGAAAAAAGATATCAATTAAAATGTTAAATGTGGTTAAATGACAGGTGATTTGTATTTTCTTCTTTCTGCATTCACATATTCTTCAAATTTCCTGAAATAAGTGTCTTCTGTGATCGGAATTAAAAATTATTAGTAACAGCAATTTTCTAACAGTGCAAGTTTTTTTCAGTTAAAAGTGCTACTTCTATGTATAATTGCATCCTTTGTCATTTTGCTATATAAACATGAAACAGCCAGTCACCATTCTTGAGAATGTTCTTTCACATCTGACTTACTGTGTGTGCATCCAGATTCAATTTCCTGGAATGTTGTAACCATTTCTAGGTTTTATGAAATATCACATTATAAGAACTTGAAGTAGTTTTTAAGCTTATTTATGTATGCCCTAAAAGAATTTTGAGAAACCTCCGATGCATTTTAATGTTGACTTAATTTTTATTACATATTGTATAAATGTGTTGAATGAATTTTTGTCAAAACTTTAGAACATACTTTCATTTGGTTTAATATATATCTGATAATTGAATTTTTGAAGGCAGTTCTCATTGTCAAGCCAGTCATCTAAATATGACTTGCTTTTTCTCAGAAAAAGTCTGACTTTAAGATACAGATAATGTCTTAATAATTATTAAAATTTAATAATTAAACAGTAAAATGTTTTCTCCAACTCATTTCTGAAATGTAATTCTAAGATAGATAAGACAGAGATCACCTTAAGTTTGAAACCTGGGTGAAATAAGATGTTATTCAGTATTCTGGCTTTGCTTTTGTGAGATCTTTTTTTCAGGAGTAGATCATTCCCTTCAGGTCTCCTCTGAGGTGCAGGGTGTTTTACTCTTGGAGTGTAATCTTCTTCTAAGAGTAGAGTCCACTTGCTTAGTAAGTGAGAGGCAGCTACTCCTGAGGAAAGTGAAGGAAAGTCAGTTGTGACACAGAGATGGGTCAGGGAATGGCATGCCACAAGCACATGCGTTCACAGTTTCATTTTAGAGACAGTGATGGTGATGCTGATGATCTGGAAATAGATTTCCTTAGGGAAAGGTGCACTAGCTTCTTCCTAATCAGTCTTTAGAGCTGTGTATTTTGATTTAAAGCGACTACCCTAAAGCTTCCATGGGAGCATTAGAGAGGCAGGGCATTTATTCAAATGGGGATCCATTTCCCCAGTTCTCTTATATAAATAAACTCCTTTGAAATCACTTGGCAACCTCATCAAATTTATAGTCCACAATAATTAAAGAATTTCTGTGAGTTCTTCAGAGGTAGCAGAGTAGGTACCAGCATAGAAGTCAGACTTGAGCTGTAATTTCTTTCTGTGACGTATTAATTTTGTGACTTAGGTTGTTTATCCTTTCACAGTCAGAGTCTATGGCTTTGAAAGAAGATTACATAGTATGTTGAGAATTAAATAAGAATGTATATGTACTTAGTTTATATGGGAAGGTGTGTGTGTGTGTGATCTTAAGTTAAATTTATATTTAAAATTTAATAATAGACAAGGATCTGAGAAAGGGCTATTGGTTTCTGTGAAATACTATATTTACAATTTTTAAATGTTTTGATTATGTGCTCTAGAAGCCATGTACTGTGTAATTATATACTATAAAGTAATAATATTTCTTTTAAAAATGGATCATATGCCCTGTGCCTTTCAAAGTAGTCATATATAAAAGAAGTACCTGTGGAAAATATCTGAAAAACTTATCTCTTATTTTTAGCAGGGATTTGGGGAATTATTGGAGAAAGCAAAACTGAACAATAACAATAGAAAGATTTCCAATGGTGATAACAAGCTCTTCTTCAGTAACTTCTCCCTTCTTGGTAGCCCTGTCTTAAAAGATATCAACTTCAAGATAGAAAAAGGACAATTACTGGCTGTGGCTGGATCTACTGGAGCAGGCAAGGTAATCTCTTACTCCTCATCACTAAGAATTTAATTTGGCATGCATTTATCATTTTTCCCTAATGTGTCTATAGTTTAAGAAGGTAATTTGGAGGAATTCTTACAGAGGTATTAGCATGCTTGGGTACAGTGTCCCTTATAAGTAGTTGCACTGTTAATTTTCCCTACCTTTTTATTTCCTTATATTATTTCCATTGACTTTTTTTTCTATGTCTTACCTTTTTGCGTAGAATTTAATACAGTGTCTTGTACAAAGGGGGCTTTCAATAACTATTGAACAACTAAACCATCCATTTTTATAATCTTTAGCACATTTTTTATAGCTGGTACAAGAAAATCATCACTTATTTTTGACCTCAATAACCATATACACAAAGGATCTTTGTTTTGTTTGTGTTATAAATTTGAATAGTGGACTTCTGATATATTGTGAAAAAATATTGAATGGGAGAGTTTTCAGAGAAAATGTTCACTTATTCAGCAGTCATTCTCCTCACTCCACACAGCTCCAAGAACAACTTACATAAACTCAAGGGTTTTGCAGACATGTCTAACAAACAGTAGTAGTTCAGAAGAAAAATCAGAAAAGACTTTATAGTGATCTTCAAAGATATGAGTTATCATGAAGATAATGATAAATGTGTACTTTTTTAACTACTAAAGAAATGCATTTAGAGGATACAAAGGAATCAAATTAGAGAGAAGGAAGAGCTTCTTTGTATTGGAATGGACTATTGTGCCAGAATTTGCTTTGGGGTTCTATAAAAATAGATTCTTGTTCCCATTTGACTGTCATGTTAGCTATGGGACTTTCTAAAAATATTAGAAAAATTTGGTGATTTTTTGGAAACTTTTCATAATACTTTATAGAATTCCAACCAAATAATCAAGACAGCAAAAAACAATAAAAATGAAAAAGAAAAGAAGGAAGGCAGAAAGATGTAAGAAGGGGGAGAGAAGGAAGGAAGCAGACTGCTATAAGGTAAAAATATATTTGCAAATAGAAATGAAGACTTTCTGAAAGACAATGATTTATAAATATTTAAGCAGACAGATGTTTGTTGAAGAATTTAGCCTGAGACTTGGGGAAAAAATGCCACGGAAAATATTTAGTAGATGAATATGGCATCCGCAGTGCTAGTAACACAATTTGGTTTTTCTCTCTCTAGTTGTTTTCCTCCTCATAACAGGCCTCTAAAATAAACTAGCTCTAACGGTGCTTTAGCTACTTTTGAAGAATCTTTCTTAGTTTATTTCCTGATTTCTTGATAAATATCACCAGCGTTTTTCACTATTAAAAAATCTGTAAGTAAAGAAGTTACAGAGATGATCTACAAGGGTATTTGCTTGTGAGAGGTTGCTACTTGGGTTTCATAGAATTTAAAAAATTAATTCTTTATGTATTTAAGATCAGTTATATGAAAGATGTGAAAAAATAGCTTTGGAATTACCAATTGTGAGATCAGCAATTAAATTTTACGCAGTTCTACTAAAGATTGATGAGCAGATAATTACGGGCTGGAACTGCACTTGAATCTGGTAGGAAGCAGCTAGGAAGATAGTCAGAATCAGGCTGTGATCACTTAGGAAAAACTACATAATTCTGAGTTTTCCAACTCACTTGAGGAGGCTGCCACTCTATAGTATTAGGAATGGGACATTTTATCCTTCACTGGATAAAGGATATAGCAAAACTTTAAGGTTGAGAAATGGTGCATTTTAAGTTAAATTTCAACTCAATTTTGTAATTTGTATCAAAAATAACCTAGTAAGCCTTCTATTTGTATATCACATTTTAACATATTTAAAGAGATTGTATGCATCTAGAATTTTATTTTTCAGACAATAGAATTATGCATGTGGATGTTTTCTATTCTTTGAGTACGGAAAATTTTCTAAGATACATACTTAGTGAGAAAGACAGGAGTAAAACTATCTGTGTACAAAAAAGTTCAGAGTGGTAAAAATATACATTGATTCCATACATATAAAATCATCTCTGGAAATACTAAAACAGTGAGGAAGATTGATTTTCAACATTACTTTCAGTAGCCAAACATTGAGAAAGAAAACTTAATAAATGCCAAATAGTAGGGAATTGTTTGGATAAATTTGGTGTAGTATATAATATCATGTTATTCAGTCAATTAAAATTGATGTTAAAGAATCACTTTGAAGTATGTGTATGATATATACTGTTAGATGATGAAAGACAATAGTTCTGTATATTATGATCCATATTTTATATATCCAAAGACAAAGAAGACTTAGGGTGTATTTGAAACATTTCTGGATTTTTCAGTTTCAACAAATTAATATATCCTATTGATAAAAAATAAGGTCATATTTCATTTTTATTGCTCCATTATTACAATTGTCTAGATTTCTGGCACAGCATCTTCATTTTTAATCCAAGGACTGTCCTACATGCAATAAGCATGTGCCTAGCATGCAATAAGCACAGTTCACAAATTTTAATCATACATCTTTAGGAAAATGCTTTCTGCTGTTGTTCCAATTTGCATTAGGATCTTTCACTTAGGAATAGTCCTTGGACAGTTTTATGAAACAGCGTCAGTGTAGGAGTCTGTACTGCGGGCACTCTTGACTGAAAACTGCATGTGACATCAGACTGGAGTGGGGTTTTCTCAGTCCTATTGTTTTAACCACAGCTGAGTAGTTCTGTGACCTTGTGGACAGCCCTGATACCACATGGACTCTATCATCTGTCCTTGCCTCAATCTAGTATTGAGTGCCTGAGGTTGGCCTTATAGTGGGGCATCAGAGGTATAGAATAACCTATTAACTCACATTTTATTACTTTTAAAACAAAAATATAAATGTCTGCATGAAGTTTTATTATTTTTGGAGCTATGAAGATAAATAAAAACATCATTCAATAGACATACATAGGTAACCTTATGTATCTATGGATTCTGTATTCTTGGCTTCAACTGACCACAGATCAAATTTTAAAAGGAACAGTTGTGTCCGTGATGTGTATGTACAAGCTTTTTGCCCTTGCCATTGTTACCTAAAGAATACATATAACACAGCCAAGGGTGTAGAGGCACAACACCTGCCTGGCAAGAACAAGGAACTGAGTTCAATTCCTGATACCCAAAAAATTAATAACACATATAACAACTATTTACAAGAATTTACATTGTATAGGCTTTTATAAGTGTGAGGGAGGATTATTATAGGTTGCAAATACTACATTACTTTTTATGGGGACCTAAGAACCTGTAGATTTTGTTGCTTGCATAGAGGAGGGGGTCCTAACACCAATCCACCAAGAGATGCCTGTAGTTTGGTTTTTAAAAGAAAGTCTATATTTTGCTCTAGAGGTTATATCTTTATGTTAAATCTTTCATTCTCTATACCTTTAGTTCATTTTATGTGAGTTCTGATAAAATTCAGTTTTTTTCCTTCTGCTACCACCTCCATTTTTTCTATTTAGTTTTAGTCAGTATTATTTTTATTAATATTTATCTTTGTTTTGTTCAATATGCTTGTATGACTTTATTTGTTAATTTTAAATGATTATCCTTTAACTTGCAGCTTTTCTTGATAAGGCAACAAAAAATTTCTCCCATACTCTGTGTCTGTACCTTACATGTCTTTGTTTTCATATTTGGTTTTCACGTACACTTTTCTTATTCACAGACCATATGATATATTTAAATTCTGTTCTTCAACTCTAATTCTACTGTCCGTTTTAATTTAGGTCACATTTTTGCTTACTGATAGTTTTTTTTGACTATCATCTTTTGGGTAAAAAAAAAGATGGGCTGTCATTTCTTGAAGAAAAACGGTTTGTGGGAAAAATATTACATAAATATACCTTTTTTCACATAGTTTTTCATTTGTAAGATGAAAAAAATACTAAATATGGCTTGTGAAATGTTATGAGGAATAAACAAATTAATTAAGGCACAGGGCACCCAACTTACGAGAGTGAGCACTCAACAAATATTAGTCATCTTTCCCAAACCTTCTTCAAAACCATTGCAACAGCCTGAAGTAAGTGGCTCTTCCCTGTGAATGTCTCTCATAGCAGCTATAAATCTTTGTTGCAACCATTGCATTTATTTATGTTGAGTCTTTTGTGCCTAGCAAAGTACCTGCAATGAACAAAAATTACAGTATTTTGAATCAGAGTAAATAGAATCTTTTAAAACAAGGTAGATACCTTTGTTGAGGATGCTGATGGGAGACAGTGAGTCCTGACAGTGGCTTGATCAAACAATTTAATAACAATGACTTTTATTTTCAGACTTCACTTTTAATGATGATTCTGGGAGAACTGGAGCCTTCAGAAGGTAAAATCAAACACAGTGGGAGAGTTTCATTCTGCTCTCAGTTTTCCTGGATCATGCCTGGCACCATCAAAGAAAACATCATCTTTGGTGTTTCCTACGATGAGTACAGATATAGGAGTGTTATCAAAGCATGCCAACTGGAAGAGGTAAGCAATTATGTGAAAAATTTACAATTTACATATACCGAAATCATATATTTGGGTCTCTACTCAGTTTTCACAGTTACCTCTAAGAATAAGCTACTATGAATGGGGTAGATAGTAGACGATAAAACTGAGCTTGCAAATAATGCAACTTTTTAAAATGGGCTATTTTGGTCACAATAAGAACTTCTTATGAAATGGTAAGCATTTGGGTCCAATGAGATTAATCTTCTCAATTAACGTATGGTTTATATTGTTTTACTCTGAAAATTACATAAAAGGAATTTAACAAGCTTAATAGTATCACAGTCTAATGGAATGAGCCTTTATCTGCTAGTAGAGAATTGGAAAGATAAAAGCTGTCTAATCTTGAAATTGTACCTTATCTTTAGTCTTGAACATATAACTAGATACCAGTAACCTCTAGTGAGTACAATTCTCTGAGACAGAGGTAAAGATTATGCTTTCAACTCCTTCCATAAGAATTAGAGGAATGGGCTCATTGTCTTGAAATTACCCAAAGTATTCTAAGTGAGACCAGGACTTGACCCTTAAAGTTGTTTCGTCGTGAGTTCAGTAATCGTTGGTATAAATTTTAGAATAGAGATTATATTATGAGACTTATTGGCAGTACTATCTAAATCATTCTGATTCAGAATCAGTATATTTGATATAATACACTGTCACTAATGGATTCCTTCATATCAGATTTTATGAAAATAAATGCAATGGGACTAAAAGGAAGCATAATGTAAAATACACAAAAAATAGAAAAGAGAGGGCCCTGAACTGGTAGAAAGGGCTTTCCATGTGTTCATTGACTCATTCAATAGGAATGTTTAAAGCCCCATTCACTTTTCTGTACATACTGAGGGCTTCTTGAAAAGAAGAATTCTCCTATTAAAAAAAGACTGTTGGATTTACTTTGAAGATGATCTCTATCATTCCTCAAAAGGCTTTCTTTCAGCAATACTGTTTCCTAACCTAGAGGTTGGAACATTCTGAATTTGTTATAAAAAGTAGTCTAGGGGTAACTAGAGATCACTAGGGAGAAGTGACATGTAAGACTGGTACTGTGTGCTGTAGTTTATTTATGAGAAGACAAGTATTGGGAAACTTCTACTAGACTTTGACTTTTGTTTTGAATATTCATTTTTTCCCTTGAAATGATTTTTTATAAATGACAGATTGCATCCAACAAACAAGCCTATAAAAATGCTATATTTAAACTATAAAAGTGCTATATTTAAACCAAATATAGCTTAGGTATATTTCTAGAATTAAATTTAGAGCTATGAAAGGAGCATTTTCTAATTTCTGAATGCTGTGTTAGGTCCTGAGTATACTAAGTTGAATGAAACAGCTTACTTTTTGTAGGGTTCATAGTAGAGTATCCTGTGTTAATAATGAAGGATTACATGGTGAATTATAACTACATGAAGCCATTGAAAAATAATGAAAAAAAGATAAGAAACAGAAGTAGAACATATTTTTCCCTTTTGTTCCCTGATTGCATGGCTACCCTTAAAATTATTATTAGAAAGTATATGTCAATTTTTTAAACCATATTCACAGACTTATATAACCATCAAGTTTGACCTCTCTAAAAGGAACCTCTTACCTAGTAGCAATCAGTTCCCTTTACTATACCTAAATTCTCCCACCCAGTCTTAAACTACTACTAAGCTAATCTCTGTGTCCCTAAATTTGTCTGTTATTAACTTTCACATAAGTAAATATCTTTTGTGACTAATTTTTAAAGCAGAAGAAGATAATGAATCTTCATTTAGCAAACACTTACTAAGCCTTGCTTTACTTTATACAGTATACCAGAAACTGGAAATGAAACCATACATAAAATATGATCCATATGCTTAAGCGTTTTGAGTTCTAGTGGGAAAAAGAAAAAATATCAGTAGTGAATTAATTGATGCCTGGCATGGTGGTGCATACCTGTAATTTCAGCATAGGGAGGCTAAGGTAGTCAAGTCATGAGTTTTTGCTTAGACTACATAGTGAAACCTCTCAAAAAAGCCAACCAAACAAACAAACAAAAATAAAAATGTTTTTTGTGTGTATTACTATGGATGTAACTGAGGGTCTTCATACGGAGCTGTATCTCAGTCCAATTTTAATTTTTTATTTTGAGACAGGTTTCATGAAGTAGCAAAATTACACAGGTTGAGATTGAACTTGCAATCCACCTGAATTGGCTTCCCAGAATGTTAGGATGGCAGGTATACCCCACTGGGCCCAATTGAAAAGGGGATTTTTGTAAGAGTAAAATTTTTGGAGGAAGTGAGGATTCTGTCTGGGTCTGCCTATTGTAAAGAATATCCTCTGGACAGAGATACAAGGTTAATGTCTTCTGATGGAATGATTTACTAGAATTCTAAGGGTAACAAGAAAGAAACATATGGTCTCAGAGAGATTTTTGATTAAGATCATTAGAGCTTCCAATAAAGTACAGAGATTAGATTGATGCAAAGAAGTAGGAAATTGATGAGTAAAATGGTTTCTGGATTGTTAAGAGAAATAAGTGAGATACATACTAAAGCATAAAATACATTTAGATCAAAGTCTATTAATTAAACTTTAACTTGTTATCACTAAAAATACTGTCACAGAGTATGATCAAGAAGACAAATTTCTAGCATTTGTTAGTGAGTGATATTCTGGTGAGGAGATGGAAGTTATGGATGTATCATTAATGAAAAAGAGAACTATAAAGTCAGATGATGAAAAATCATTAATATTAATGTTGATTTTGAAAAAAGTGTTTATAAGAAAAATTATAAAAATGTTTATTGGTAAATATAGTAGTTAGTCTATATCCTGAAGGTTTGTAATATGGATATATTGGTTCCATGTTCAAAAATGGCAGTGGGTCAGGGCACAAACCCATTTTCTATGTCACTTCAGACTGAAAGTATCATTTGTGTGGCTTTCTTGTCTGTGTCAGTCACTGTTTGGTATAATGGAAGCATGGTGTGAACAAAATGAAAGGTTTAGCACCTCTTCTGTCAAAGGACAAAATACACAGAGCCTATTCCCATATGATATGGCAGATTAGGCTATGGGTATTCTTCTGGGTACAGAAACTCAATGGAGAGTTTTAGCCCGCTTGGGCACTTCAGGGAGCTATCTCTACAAACAGATACTTAAAAATTGAGTCAAAAATAGAAAATATATTTTGGACAGAGGAAACTGTATGAACAGAAGTGCAGGTCATGAAACCAGTTGGTTGGTATAGGGAGTCATGAGCATCATGATAAAACTAGAATACAATTTGGGAATAATGAGTGGGAAGGAATAGAATTGGAGGCCATGTCATGTATACCAGCCTGAGGAATTTGGTCTTGGAGAGACTTACATAGGGGAATGATGTAATCACTTTGAAGTTTAGATATGTCATTTTTGACAAATGAGCAGAATTAGGTTGGACAGCACTAAAACTTTGTGGAATAACAGAAAGAGCATAGTTTTTTATTTCTTTTTTCTTTGTTTTTGTTTTTTGCTGTATAGTGATGGAATTTGAAACCTGGTTCTTATGAATGCTAGATAGGCAAGTTACCAGTGAGCTACACACCAGGCCCAAGAACATAGGTTTTGAAATCTGACAAAGCCATTTGTCTGTAACCTGTCTGTATACTGAGTTTCGTCATCTCCAGTGTGGAGTTAACATCACTTATTTTGTGAAGTTTTATGGGTTCTTGTAGCACATAGAAAGGATTTTATTTTTTTCACCTTTCAGATTGAACTCAGGGCTTTGCACATGGTAGGTACATTCTCTCACTGTATTACACCCTCACCCCAAGAAAGTTCTTAATAAATAAAACAGCTATTATTCATACTAATGCTACTATTTGCTATTCTGAGTAGAGGAAGGGAAACTATTTATATAATCCAGATAATGGTTGTGATGGACAAAAGAACATTAATCAGAGGAATTGTAAGAAGAAATGTCATATATATTGTTTTCATCCATGGAAAAGGACATCAAAGAAGAGTGACTTTTTCCCTCAAAAAGTTAAAAGACGAGAGAAGTTGGTTGAAGATTAAGGATTCCCTGCACAGTAGAAATCAAAAAGAAAGCAGATTGATATTATGGGTTCAGGAAGGAAGGATATGAGTGGATGAACTACATAGAACTCAGACATCAGATCAAGGTAGTGGATCACAGATTTTGCTAACAAAGAGCCAATGGGGACTGTTACTAGGTGGGAAGTGATTAATAATCATCATAATGATGATGACCTCCATTTTGATTTTAAATGTAAAATTTACTCTTACCTACTCTTTGCCTTAAGTTTTAAATGTCATATTGTTTTGTATTTTCAAGGCTCCTTAAATCTTTGCTCCCTAAATCTTTCCATTCTGCTGACTTTTGCTACTAAATTAGAGCTTCTTACTTTGCTTGTGGTAAGAAAAGCACCCAGGAATTTCTTAAATTTCTTGTTCTTTGTACTGGCAAATATACTTCATACCAGAGTATTTGATATATGTTGGTTTTATCTATTAACTACAACCTTAGAACTGAGAAAAGCAATTTTTAAAATGCTGTTTTGGTTTATTATATGTAGGGCATTGATAGAACAGTAAATTCTTGTTGAATGACTGTTTGGACATGTTTTGAAGTAGGTGTGTCAGTTACAAGGATTTTGCTCAGAAATTGTTGTTCTGTGAGCCTCGTAGACTCTGAGGCTTAATGGGTGGTTATAGGTCTATTGGGAGTAGTGCAAGTAATCGAAACTGCTTGTTTATATTGATAGTCAAAAATCACATTTTCCTATTTTCAGAGCCTTTAGAGTTTTTTAAATTTTTGTTCTCATTGCATAAATGTTCCCACCTTTGGTAAAGTCTAAGATGAACCTCAGTACCGTGTAATCCCTGTATGCCAAATGAAAATTTTATCTTTTAAGGACATTTGATCAAAAGAACATAAAATTCTTACAGAATCCTTGATGGTTAAGCAGTTAGTGCCAGCAGAAAAATCCCTCAAT